CGCTATGCGCTTGGCTCTATGCACTTGGCTCTACACACTTGGCTCTACACACTTGGCTCTAGGCACTCAGCCCTATGCACTCGGCTCTATGCACTCGGCCCTGTGCACTCGGCTCTATGCACTTGGCTCTATGCGCTTGGCTCCACGCACTTGGCTCTATGCACTTGGCTCTATGCACTTGGCTCTATGCACTTGGCTCTATGCACGGCTCTATGCACTTGGCTCCATGCACTTGGCTCCATGCACTTGGCTCTATGTGTTTGAGTCTGCACAAGTGCTCTATGCAAGTTGGTCCGAGAGCTCCGCGCGGAAGAACCCTTCGCGATGCTTCCGGGAATTACATTACCACACAAAATTTACTACACAACAATTACTACAACCAAGAAATGATTGTGCTCAAATTTATACACAAAAGTTACTACACATTTTACTGCGCAAAAAACACAAAAACACTGATTTTTCGTGTTGTAAAAAAAACCTGTTTTGATCCTTCAGGTAAAGCCCCTGCGCAATTGCACTCGTTCACTCTTGAGACGCCTGACATCAGGCCCTGCTCACGCGCGCTCGCTCGGCACTTCGTACGCCTGCCAAATGATAAGAACCCCCCCCTCAATCACCCTCGCGGAGCATTGCGCCCACGCCTGCCTTATGATAAGACTTTCGCGCATCCTTGCTTCAGCGCTGCGCCCGCACGCCTGCCACAAAAAAAAGCGCGCCAAATGATAAGCGCCCGTGCTCAATTGAACTCGCTCAGCCTAGCCCTGAAACATGCGCACGCTCAGCGCTGCGCCCGTGCCAAAGCACTCCCCCGGCGTGATCTTTGACACTCTTAGCACCTTCCGCTCTTGCTCTTCCGTGTTGGATTGCGGCCCCTCCACCACACCAACCTTCTGCAGAGCCTCCTTGACCGACCTGAGCGCCTGCTCCTAATCCGCTCTTCTTTCATCCAACGTCATAACCTTGGCAGCAGCCCGCGAAGGTGTCTCGCTAGACTCCCTCCCGCCTCGCTTCTCAAAGCCTCATCTCTTCTTGAACCTTCTTTGACCAGAAAGGGTTCACCTCCACTCCAGCCTCCCAGCTTCCCGTGTTCTTGCGCGTAGGGCCTTCGCGCTGTTGCGATTGACTCAGACCAGAAGGGCTTCGCCTTGCGCCGCCCCACCTCCGCTCGCTTCTCCCCCTATTCACAAACCATCCTCCACCAGCTAGCTGAGCTTGGTCATCACACCTGCTCTCTTCGTTTCAGGGCTTCCCCTCCTCGCACGTCCGTGACGCAGTGGAGCAAGGTCTTGATCTCAGAACCTGTTCGAGCTCTGGCGCCCCTTTTCCTTTGGGCAATAAAAAGGTTCTGCGAGAACCACATGTTCAAACGCAGGTTGATGTGTCATGCAGTTCTGAAAAGGAGTCACCCGACGTCGTGGATGCTCTGAGCGGGCCTTGCGCCGCACCCACGCCGAGACCACGCTGCACCCACGCCAGGCCGGCGTCGAGACAGAGGTATCGACGCAGACAGTCACTCCCTTCTTTCGCGATGTCTTTCCCCGTCCTGTTGTCTCATTGCGTTCATTCTTTCTTCTCTTGTCTGTGACCCAGCTATCTGCGTACGCCATCTTGTTGCATAAGCCATCTCATGTGGTCTTCTGTGAACCATGGTCTTCTGTGACCTGCCTTTTCTCTCGCGCTAGCTGCGCAAGCTGCCTTTCAATTAGCTTCTACGGAAGTTTCTTCTAAACGTCCTTTGATGATGGGCCCGAGGTTTACCAGCCATAGTTCCGAAACACATACAACTGGAAACCTCAGTGCCAAACGAATCAAGCACAATCCTTGCATCCTTTGGACATCAATTGCGCTCAAAATTCAGGCACTCCTTGCTCCCAGCTTGCCCTTGCGATGGGAGCGTTGGAGACACGGAGTTCTTTTTTTCCTTGGCTCAAAGTTATATTGCAAAAGCGCAATAGGCCAAGGCCACACCCTGAGGTCATCCTAGCCTCACTGGTCGGAATTCCACGGTTGTTTCTAACGCTGTTTGCAGTCGCTAATGGAGCCCGCTCAACCTTGGACATTGAGCAGAGGGAGCAAAGTTGCCGTGTCGCGTGGGCCTCCCTGCTGTCAGAGTTTTGTGTGTGCAAATCTGACCTGCCAGAGGGTCATTGCTGCAATCACGTGCGTCACACGCGCGACAGCGCTCTGAGCACTGTTACGCCGCTAGACGGGGCGCGGCGTTCTCGAATCACTGTGTCGTTGAATCGCTTGATGCGTCGCGGGGTCGCTTAAAAAACTTGCTTGGGGCTCTGTTCGTTTTCGCTTAGCCGCTTATCCTCGTCGCCTTGTCGCTTACCCCCAACCGCTTAGCCCCGGAGATCTTCACGACCGCTCTGCCTTTGCAATGGTTATCCGAGAGTCTACACTGCAACGCTCGCCCTGGCTGTAAGCCGCCGCTTACACGAACAACCACATAGAAGCCAGCTAACTTACGACTCGCCTGGGCGCCGGGCCTTGAAGTCCTCGTATTGCATCGGCATGTTGCAGCAAGGAGCGGAAGCCAGTTCAGATCCAAATTGGCAAAACCATGAGATGGACGACAGGTGCGCTTCGCAACTGGTTTGTGAACCCGATCGCTTTGCCAAACGTTCTCTGCCACAAGCGCGGCTGTCAATCGTAAGCCGCAGTGGCTGGCAGCCTGAGAAAGCAATCTCCAAGACTTGCCCTGGGATCTGCGAATGTCGGCGCAAGTCTAGCCTCAGATGCCTCTTGCTGCAAGCATTTAGGCCACTCAAGCGTTGTCAGACCTCTCTACAGGCGGTCAACAGCAACAGGCGCAGCTAGTGTACCCGTGTAGACCTGCAAAGAAGAGCGGGATCAAGCATACACGTGGCAAACCAGTCCAGCAAGCAACGCCAAGCCGTGCGCTGGTTTCTCCCCTCGTCATGGGAGCCTTGCGTTTCCTTGCTTTGCCCCGGTTCCCCTGGCATTGCCTTACTTCTATTCATTGTTGTTGTTGCTGCTGCTGCTGCTGCTGCTGCTGTTGTCGTTGTCGTCGTTGTCGTCGGTGTCGTCGTCGTCGTCGTCGTTGTCGGTGTTGTCGCTGTTGTGTCGCTGTTGTCGCTGTTGTCGCTGTCGTCGCTGTCGTCGCTGTCGCTGTTGTCGCTGTCGCTGTCGCTGTCGCTGTCGTTGTTGTTGTTGTTGTTGTTGTTGTTGTTGTTGTTGTTGTTGTTGTTGTTGTTGTTGTTGTTGTTGTTGTTGTTGTTGTTGTTGTTGTTGTTGTTGTTGTTGTTGTTGTTGTTGTTGTTGTTGTTGTTGTTGTTGTTGTTGTTGTTGTTGTTCTTGTTCTTGTTCTTGTTGTTGTTGTTGTTGTTGTTGCTTGTTGCTGTTGCTTGTTGCTTGTTGCTGTTGCTGTTGCTGTTGCTGTTGCTGTTGCTGTTGCTGTTGCTGTTGCTGTTGCTGTTGCTGTTGCAGTTGCTGTTGCTGTTGCTGTTGCTGTTGCTGTTGCTGTTGTTGTTGTTGTTGTTGTTGTTGTTGTTGTTGTTGTTGTTGTTGTTGTTGCTGTTGTTGTTGTTGTTGTTGTTGTTGCTGTTGCTGTTGCTGTTGCTGTTGCTGTTGCTGTTGCTGCTGCTGCTGCTGCTGCTGCTGTTGCTGCGGTTGCCGTTGCCGTTGCTGTTGCTGTTGTGGTTGTGGTTGTGGTTGTGGTTGTGGTTGTGGTTGCTGTTGCTGCTGCTGTTGCTGGTTGGTGTTGCTGGTTGGTTGGTTGGTTGGTTGGTTGGCCGGTCGGTCGGTCGGTCGGTCGGTCGGTCGGTTTGTTGTTGGTGGTGTAATTGTTGTGGTGCAAGGCTAAGCAAGGGAAACCAAGGGAAGGCAAGTGACAGCCAGGAACGCAAAAGAAAGGGAATGCAAGGGCAAAGAGTGGGAGAGCAAGTAAAAGCAAAAAGAAAACAAAGGACAGCAAGGGAAAGCAAGGGACAGCAAGGGGGAGGAAGGGGAAAATCGGATAAGCAAAGAAACAGCAAGCCAACGCAAGGCAGAGCAACGGAAAGCAAGGGAGAGCCAAAGCACGCGACAACGTTCAAAGCAGAGGCAAGGACAAACAAGGGAAGAACAGCAAAAGCAGGGCAAAGCAAGGCAAATCAAAAGCCAGGGCAGGCAAGGCAAAGCAAGCAAATTGCAAGGCAAACCACGGGAAAGGAGGAAAAGCAAACGAAGGATAGCAAGGGACAGCAAGGGACAGCAAGGGACAGCAAGGGACAGCAAGCGACAGCAAGACAGGAAAGCACCGGACAAGCCAGGCAAGACAAGAAAAACACAGGAAGGCAAAGAACAGCAACTTTCCCTGGCTTTGCTTGCTTTGCCTTCCTCACCTTCTTCTGTCCCTTGCCAGCTTGACTCAAGTCAGAGCAAACCGCAACTGCGCAGCCCTTCTAGGATTGAATCACATACAAAGTAGCAAGCCGCCCGCCGTGCGCACCCCGCGTCTCCCTGACAACCGCCGAACCCCCTTGGCATCCGTCGAATCTGTTCCATCCAGCACAAAACAGCTGCCAAAAATGGCCTCATTGGATGAAGGGCGAGACACCAAAAAACAGCGGCCATTTCTAGCGCGAACGCGCTTGCATGACCGACGCTGGCAAGCAAACAGCACCCTAAACAGCGTGCAAAAAAGCGCTGCTTTTTCGATCGGACAAAAAAAAAAAAGCAAATCAGCCCGCGCAAGCCAACCCCCCCCCCTGCCCCAGCCCCTCTCCCCCGTGCTTCGCACAGCAACCTGCAGGCGCTTCAAGAAGCGCTTTCCATGAAGACCCCGCCGAGCCGGTTGAACTCTGAGCTACAGGGCATTGAGTAGGGACTGCGCAGAGCGTGACCCCGCCAGCTTCTTCACCGCCTCGCAGGCTCCCAGGCAATGGGAAGCCAAATACCCACGTGCAGCATCACGCAACCCTGACAGACTGCTTTTCTACATAAACCCTTACCCTCAAGACTCTGTCCCTCTCACCTGATAGCCCTGTGTTCGGGCCGCCCCTCTTCAATGCGGCTTCCTTGTTTGCACCCCCAAGAATCACGGGAAACCCTTGCGCCCATATGCTGGATCTGTAAGTGAGAGATGACCTTCGGAAGCATGAACGTATGTTGGTGGCTGGAGGGATACGTGGTAGCCAAAGTGGGTTTTACTTGCCTGCAAAACGATCCAAGCATCTTGACAAGGCTGTGTGTGAGATGCTAGCTCCTGCGGCAGCAAATAGCGTGTGTCCACCCACAACCTGACAAAAAAAAAAGAAGCAGGACCTCTGTCAGCAGCACAAAGCTAAACAGGTGCATCGGAATTGGCGACCTTTGCTTTTGGGCTCTTTGGAAGAGAGCCTAGAGTGAGTCTAGCGCTGCTCGCCTGCCCAGTGGCGGAGTTCTCATTGGAGGGGTCCTGCGACCTCGGAGAGCCAAAGTGTACAACCACGAACAGTGTTATTGCGATCCACCAAATTCGCACACCTGACAAAAGCTCCTTGAAGACAATGTTCCTTTTTACAGGAAGACCCCTGTCGGAGCGGGCTCGCCTTGATGTAATGGTTGATACAAGAAAAGTTGTCCATGTCATTCTGCAACTGTAACGCGGGCACGCGCTTTCCACTAGCAGTGCGCCTTCTGCCCTCTGCAGTTGCCCGCCCCTCTTCCTGGAACAAGAAACAATAATTCGACGCCTCGCACCTTCATTGTTTGGTCACTTTCTCAAACCATTGGAGGTCCTCTCGCGTAGTATTCTGTTTGAATCGAGAAAGGCTCTTGCGGTGGTTCTGAATTAGAATTCATGCTTTTGAAACCACAAGGGATGACTGTGGCCCATGTCTGTCACAACTGCGCGGCGTGCTACCAATCTGCACAAGTGGACTAACAGGCCCCTGTGATGGACATATGGTGAGTCTCTCGTGCCCCTCCCATCAGGATTGAATATTGACTTTGGGCATGTTGACTAGGCATCTATCCATAGACGTAGAAAATGCGACCAACGGGTTACATTTCACAGGTGGTGTCCCGCAAATCATCCTCCACTCCATTCCAGGCCCCCACACACCTCCCACCCTTTGCTAAATTCCCAAACAATCTTCAGCCTACATGGTTGGAGCTATCATGCAAAAGCCGAGTTGCACGTGGCCGATATCCAGGTTGGAGACAAAGGATGGCCTCCTGCAAACAGAAGAAATGCAATGACTGTCAGCCTCAAGCAACGCCCTGGCAAAGCTTACAGTGATCATTTCCGAAATTTAACAGAGACATCGCAACGCAAACACCGAAAGCATGTCAATAAGAAAAGCGGCACTTTCTTGCACTTCTCATGCGCATGGCCATCAGTTAGTAACACTCAGAAGGAAGCGCGTGAACTTGCTACATTTGAGCCTTCCATACACACAAGATGTTTGCTTCGGCAAGATGCGCTGGAGCAAACGCGCTTGAGCAACATACGCTTGAGCAAGACACCATTAAGCAAGAAGCACTTGGCCAAGACCCTGAGCAAAACCAACCCGAGCGGGATATACTTGAGCAGGGTTTGCTTGAGCTAGCTGCACATAAGCAAGCACACAAGCGAGAGTTCGAGCAAGCATTTTCGAGCAAGAGCTACTTGGGCAAGATGTATTCAGGCAAGGCACAGGCAAGCAGGACATACTTGAGCAAGCTACACCTGAGCAAGAAACACTCAAGCAGACACACATGAAGAAGGCACATAATGAGCTATGTAAATGCATGATGCAACATAGGGCCGGCCGATGGTCGGAAGTTTCAAGAGCTACAGTTTGGTCCTCGCTTCCTTTTTCTGTATTTCCTTCGTTCTTTCCATTGTTCCTTTTCTTTTCGTTTTTCCTTCTTGTGTGTTTCTTTAACTTGTTCTTTCTTTCTCTCTTTTCAGTCGATCTTTCTTTCTTTCTACTTACATGTCGATCTCTCTATCTATGTTTTTTTTTCTGTCCATCTATCCGTCGCTCTGTCTGTCTGCTTATTCATCTATCTCTCTCTCTATCTTTGTATCTGTCTATGTATTTACCCATCTAGAAATTTACCCAGCTCTTCACTTGGCAATTCTCTATCTGTTTCTATATACCTATCTGTCTCTCTATGTCTTTGCTTTGCTCTCCACCTATCTATCTAACTGTCTATCATTCTATCTCTCTGTCTATACGCCTATCTACGCCAATCTATCTATCTGTATGTCTCTCCATACATGTCTATCTATATGTCCATCTCGCTCGCTATCTCGCCATCGCGTCTCGTCCCCCCCCCCCCCACCGCACGACCATGCATGTTTTCTCGCACGCATCCACTATTTCTTCATCTTATCTGTGCGCAAGATATCTGCATACGGTGCCTGTTCGCACGGGCCATCTGATCTTCTGCAAGAGCTATCTTTTCTCATGCGCTGTCTGATCTTCTGCAGTTGTCTATCCGCGCAAGATACCTTTCAGTTTCCTTCTAAACTTCCAGTCACGATGCTTAAGCACGATACACTCGAGCGCCTTCAGAACGTTT